GACCCAGACTGGAGCTGCTGCTGCAGAAACCTTGGAGCAGGGGGAGCGCAGGGGGCAAGAGAAACGATTGCCTCGGTGGAGATTGCCCGGTGCTCTGAGCTCAGACGTCTGGTGCAGAGCATCTCTGAGCTGCTCAGAGCATGTCAACCTCTGGTGATGGAGCCCTCGCTCTGCTGAGAGCTGGTCTCATCCTGCCTGCTGTGGTCAGTGTTTGCATAGGAGACCATGGCATGGCCTGTGGGGGGTGTAGCCCGTGGTTTCCTGTTTCAGTGCAGCCAAAGAGTTGTCTTTTAGATGAATGTTGAATCTGAAGCCCTGTGGCTTGATAGCCAGGGGGTTGGGGTTGGGACCGTGGCCTAATTCCAGCTTAGGTGGCCAGGGCATTTGGGTGCATGGCCTGGTGCAGGATCCGGGGCTATGGGGCCCTGCTGGCCAGTGGTGGCAGGGAGCAAGCGAGGGCTGTGCTAACACGCTTGCCTCGGGCCACTTGGCCTATGGCCACTTCCCTTCTGCTTCCACCGCTGGCCCCGTCTCTGCCACCACCAGGTGCGGATCCAGCTCTAGATTCAGCCCACGGGGTGAGTTTGAGCCCCCTGGACATGAGAAATGGCTGCTAAGAGCCGTCCCGTGGCCTCCAAGGGGTTTGTGCTGCCCAAGAGGAGCCAACGTGGCCTGGGGTCCCATCAGGCTGGCCCATGCCCCCCGTACCCTGCTTTACTCTGCAGCGTTGGTTCTGGTCCCAGCTCCCCGGCTGCCGTATGGGCCATGCTGCTCTTTGCGGATCACAATCCCAGCACTCAAATGCAAGTAACGGAGCATGTTTGCACTGAGCCTGAGTCACGGCTCAAGGAGCCTGGCTGAGCTGCCCTGCTCCTGGCCCCATGGACCAGGCCACAGTGCCCTCGGGTCCTCCAGGTGCCTGGCCCTGCTCCTGGAGGCTGGGGTGCACCGAGTGCAAGGGAGCCCGCTGCCCTGTGGCATGTGGCTTGTGCCCTTCTGGTGGGGGGTGAGGAGGGGACACACTGCCCAGCCTGCTGCCCACAGCAATAATGCCAGCTGCCGCAGCTCGTGGCCTGGCAGGCAGCTGGGTCCTGCCTCTCCTTCCTCAGTTGAGTCCAAAACCTAAGCAACCAAAGCGCTGTGTCCCCACACCGTGAGGTCTGACCTGGGGCTCCTGCAGGTGTGGCTAGTGACGGGGCCAGCTCCAGCCGTGGCCGGGGGTGCCAGGACGTGGCCTCGTGCCCTGGCAGCCCCAGGGGACGTTGGCTGTGATGCACTTTACCAGGGAGCATCCTGTGGGGCTCAGATGTCACGGGTGACTCTTGGGGGGTGATACAAAGCTGAGGGTCAGGGAGCAGCGTCTACTCCCTGCCCAAGAAAATCCTGTGCATCTCCTTCGGTTATGGAAGAGGAGAGGTGTGGATCAGGGAGGGTTGGTGCCCACCACCCCGCTCCAGCCACCCAGCCCATCCATCTCCGCCAGGCACGGCTCTTTCCCCCACAGCAGCACACGTGATCTTCCGTGTGGCTGCGGGGGTGAGAGTGGCCTGTTTTTAATGGTGTCACCCCCGGGTTGGCTCCTTCTCCCTGCCAGGACAGGTGTGGCCTCTCCTGTGAGCACCCCTTTGTCCCCCAACCCCGCTGCTACACACACAACCAGGTACCGCCTTGCACGTCCTCCTCCGGGATGGGAGGGGGTCACAATCAACCCGCTGGTGCTAACGTGGCTCAGTGCAGCCGGAGGGCGGCCGGTTCCACGGAGCGGGCGGCTGGGGCCCCGTGCGGGGCGGACGTGTGTGTGCGCGTGCACGTGTGTGTGTGTGTCCGTGCCAGGCATCCCACCATCAGGCAATAAGCAGCGTTTTGTTTTCTGTGTGCAAACAGTGTTCGTGGAGGTGGGTCCTCTGGCTTGTTCCCGTGCCCTGCGCCTCCCCCCTTGCTTTCCCAGTGGCCTCCCAGTGTGCGGGTAGGGATGGGCAGGCACAGGGAGCTAGTGTGCATGCAGCACGGGAAGGGACAGGCTAGCGGCTCCCACACTCGGGTCCGTCCACGCTGGCAACCCATGACAAGCAGCCACAGACAGCGTCATCCCTGCCCTTCCCTCCTTGAAGTGTGGTGAGACGGTGCAGGGCGTCTGCAAGGGAGGTGCTGGCATGGCCTGTTGGCCCCTGGGCTGGAGAATGAGAGCTGCAGTGCAGGCCCCTGGGCTGGGCAACAGGCCAAAGCCAGCGCATCAGATGTGGGCCCTGGCATTGCCTGGCCGCCTCTCCACTTCCCTGCTGCTGCTGCCAGGTGCCAACAGGGCTTTGCCAGTAGCCGTATCCACCTGGGACGCAGCGATGCATAGCCCATCACGAAGCTGCAGCCTCAAACTTCATGGAGAACAACCAGCCAGTGAGTCCCTGCCCACTGGGAGCTTCCCGGGGAGCCGGGCTCTGCTTTGTTGGCGTGTCACTGCGTGTCCACGGGGCAGTGCCAGGTGAAAAGGTTCTGCTGAATGCACGTGCATGTGCACATGCATGCGGGTCCCTGGGTTTCCAGACTTCTAGCTGGTTTCCTAGGAGAGATTTTGCCGGGGGAAGGTTTCTGCCCCAGCCCAGGCCGCAGGGCTGCAGGAGTGGCTGCCCAGGCAGGTATTTTGCAGTTGATGTCAGTGTTATTGGGATGCCAGCTGTGCTCATCGGGTTTCACACCTCAATAAAACCTATATTTATACTGGATGGGGCAGACGGCCTTGCCCCTCTGCGCCTGTGTGTGTGTGTACATATATAGTGTGCATGCAGTGTGTCCTGGTGTGATCATGTGTGTGCTGGTGTTTGGCTTGTGTGCAATGCTGTAGGCACCAGTCTATGCAACAGTGGTGGTGTATGGGGTGGGGTGCACGCATGGAGCCGTGTGGCTGTGTGCACGTCTGTGCACGTGTGTGTGTGTGTGTGTGTAGCACTAGGCATCAGGTCCTGGTGTGAAGGTGTTTGTGTGTAATGGTGTGGCTTGGGGGACGCAGGCGTGAGGCAGTGTGGCAGGGTATGTGTGCATCTGCATGCGTGTGCTGGCTGAGGGGCAGCTGTGCGGCTCGCTGACCAGTGCATGTGGCTGGGAGCCAGCGTGGCCCAGGCCTGCCCTCGTGGGGAAGGGGTGTGAGCGCGGGGGTTCGGAGGGGCCTGGGTGGGGGTCCAGCTGTGCCACAGTGCCGGCCCCTGCGAGGGCAGGGCTACAGGGCATTTCCCTGAGCCTGCGTTGACAGGAAACGCCAGACAGGTGAGCGGCTCTAGCAACCGCTCCCTCCCCAGCCAGGATCAGGGCCCCGCAGGGAGGAGCTGGGGCAGCCCCAGTCCGGGGTCCTGGCCTCCGCAGGCCAGAGGACACAGCGACCCCCGGCATGGGCATGCCACTGTGGTGGCTGCCTCCCTACCCTGCCCTGCGCCCCTGGGCTGGTGGCTGTTTGCACAGCCCCAGGATAGGAGTAGCAAGGCACATCCCCCCCATCCTGGTGCCCGAATCCCCGCGAGGGCCTGGGTCATGAGAAACCCCCATCCAGGAGCCCACGGCACAGCCTGGGGCCCCTGCCTGGTGCTGGACTTGTCCTCTTTGGGGACCCCATCTCCTTGTCCAGTTTCCTCACCCCCACCCTTGCCCCTGTTTGGGGAGCAGGGACCTCCCCTGTCAGCTGGTCACCCCGGGCTGGGGGGGGGCGACTGCCATGCTTATCCAGCCTACCCCCATCAGTGGGGCCAGGCGATGCCCGGGGGCCCAGCGTAGAAGAGGGGTCAGAGCTGCCCCCTCCAGGGCCTGGCCCAGACTGTGCCCTCATTGACCGTGTCAATCTGGAGCCCCAGCAGGATCAGCCCCAGCCACGGGAATGGCCCAGCTCTGCCCGGCTGCACGGCTCTGCCCTCCCCGCCCGGTCTTGGCAGCATCCCCAGCCAACAGTGGAGAGGAGGCAGGGCCACGCTTGCAGGAAGTTGCAGCCAGAGACACCGAAATCGGAACAGGCGCGGCAGGAAGAGTGACAGGGCAAAGGCCAGGGTGTGGGGAGAGCGGATCTAGCCGCGCCGAGGGCACGGGACCCCCAGCCGGTAACCCCTGACCTGCCCGCTCTGTGCTCCCCTCCACCTGGGCTGGGCTGCCCCTGCCCACGGGCGCTGTCCCGAGCCCCACACCCTGCGTGGGCTGGGGGTCTCCGGGCTGGCTCCTCCTGGCAGGGCGGCTGCCCAGGAGGGGGCACTGGGGGCCTCTGCGGGCAGGGTGGGAAGCCGGCAGCCCTGCAAGGGGGGCTTCCTGCAGCTGTCACCCTCGCTTCTCGGGACAGCCACCAAGGGCAGAGGCCGCTGCAGGGAGCCCTCGAAGGGGGGCTAGAGATTATGTCCAGCTCAGGATTAACTCCCAACATGGCCCTGGCAAGCACCCAGGCCCAGGCGGGGGGTTGGGTTGTCACAGGGCCCCCACGCCCTCCCCAACAGCCAGGCTGGCAGCTTGGACGCCTGGCTTCTGTGCTGCGCCTTGCACCCGGCGGTGGCTGCACGGGAATCCAGAGCCAGGACTCCTGGGTTCCAGCTTGGGCGCAGGCCCCTGCTTGTGCCTCAGTTTCCCCATCTGGAAAACACTTCTGATGATGCCCCGGGGCCCTGGGCGGGGGCAGAGGCGGTGCCAGGTCCTTCCCCAGCCGGTTCCTCAGCTCTCCTGTCTTGGTCCCCTAGGATGGAGGAGGAGCAGGGTGGAGCCCATGCAGAGGCTGAGTCAGAAGAGCGCAGGTGAGGCCTGGTGTGGGGAGCATCCCACTCCTTAACCCTTCCATTAAGCCTGTGCTCACAGGCCCCAGGCCCGGCCGCAGCCCTGGCCCCTCTGCTCCTGCCAGGCTGGGTTGCCTGTGCCCTGTCTGGGCATGGGCTGAGCCAGCCGTCGCTGTCCGTATGGCCTTCGAGCCCAGGACTGGGCTGGGGACCCACAGGGTTGCACAGCTCCCAGTGAGCTCTGTTTGGGGACAACGCATCCCAGCAGCACGGGACTCAGGTGGGGGACACAGCCCAGCCAGGGCCCCTCGTGGCCCCCCATGTGCTCCCAGTTCCCTGCCTGCCAGTGCCTTCTCCAGGCTCCTGTTTTGGTGCCATGCAGCCCTGGCATCCTGAGCTCCAGCCTGCTGCTTTAAGGGGAGGAGGCTCGAGCTGGCCTCTCCCTCCCCGCACAGCCAGCTCATCCGTCTGCCAGCCGGGCTGATGCTGCGTTGGCTGCGGCAGCGTGGGAATGAGGGCGCTGGGGTGGGGAGGGCTCCGGGCCCACCACCCCGAGACCTGGCAGCTGCAGGGCGATGTCCTGGCCGGACCCTCCCCTGCTGGGCATGGCCAGGGCGAGGGGTAAAGCCTTGAACCATCCAGGTACTTGGAGGATCTCCCCCACTTCCTTCCTTCCCTCTCTGCCCTCCCTGCCTCTGCCTCGGCCCCCCCCGCTTGCAGTGCTGTCAGCTCCCGGGGTTGCGCCCCAAGCCTCGCGCTCCTACCCCTGGCAGGCCCCAGCCCCTGGCCTCACATGGGCGCCAGAGATGCTCCTTTCTGCCCATGGATTGATTGAGCCTGGCCCGTGGGAGTCTGCTGCCAGCTTGAGACCTGGCTATCCTCAGCTTGCACCAGCTTCACTCTGGAGTGACTGTTTACACTGGGGACCCCAGGGCGCAGGAAAGTCCTTCCCCTGCCTGTGTCCCAGACAGGTGCCCTGGGGAGCAGGCTAACTCTGCCCATTTCCTGCCCCCCAGCTCTACCCCATTCCTTCCCCTCCCTGCTCCCAGTGCTTCTTTGCTGGCCAGGCCACGCCAACAGTATAAAGCCCCCGAGAGCCCCTTGCCCAAGGCAGCAGCCACAGGGAGCGGCAGAGGTTTGTGTCCAGGAAGCCTGGACCAGTGACTCCTCCAGGCAGGGGGCTGGGATCCGGGCACCAGGAAGGACTGTGTGGGGGAAGGTAGTGCTGTCCGTGCCCCCCACCCATCATGAGGCTCTTCCTGGGGTTTCCCTAGGCTGTTCCCAGCTCTGGGGAGGCCGGATAAGAAACTGCCCCCCTGCAGCAGCAGGCTCCGGCGTTGCCCCCCTCGTTGCTCCAGGGCAACCCTGGCAGTGCCCGGGGCCACGGATGCTGCGCTGAGCCCTCTCTCCCTGACTTTCAGCTGAAAAAGGCCGTGGCCATGCAATGCCGGTGGTGCCTTCCCCAGGCCGGGCTGGGCTGGAGCTGGCTCCAGGGAGCTCGGTGGGATGCCCGGGGGATCCTGCACACGCTCCCTGCCTTTGCGCCAGGTAAGACACCTCGCTAGGGCCCTGGCTTCTCCCCCTGCAGCCTGGCAGGGCCCTCCAGCCCAGCCCCATTGCAGCTGCCAGTGCAGAGACCTCCCTTCATGGAGGAGGGTGCACGCTGAGGCAGGCAGCCCTGGGCATGGGGGTGCAGGTGGTGCCCGCTGGCAGTGCTCCCCCTGTCCTGCTCCTCTGACTTCCCCGCGGTTCCCCGCAGGTGCCAAGACCAGCTTCTTCCTCCGAGGGCTCCTCCCTGCAGGCCGTGCCTCCCCGCTCAGGTAAGGCACAGCCGCTCGGGGAGGGTGCACGCAAGGACTTGGGTGCTCCAGGAGGGTGTGTGCAGGGGCCTGGGTGCATGGGGGTCAGCAGCTCCCTCAGGCACTTCCAGTCCCATGGATGAAGCAATCAAGCCAGGCCATGCCCATGCTGGAGTCCCTCTCCCAGGGCACCAGGACTGGGGGGGTCCAGGCCCTTTCAGCTGGTGCCCGTGCCTTGGCTCTTCAGAGGGACGGGCTGTGGAGCCTGTCAGCACAAGATCATGAGTTCAAATTCCCCCCCAGCAGATAGGGAGTGAGGGAGACACTTGCCTAGAGCTTGTCTGGCGCTCTGCCTTTCTCATCAACCTTGCCCCATCCTGCAGGAGCTTTGTCGGCTCTCAGGGAGGACTCCAGGAGAGCGCAGCCCAGCCTGGCTCTGCCCGCCATGGCCAGATGATGCTGAGGAACGTGGCTTCTTCTGGTAAGGCCTAGCGCCGTGGGGACCTGGTACGGCAGGGGAGCCACGGACGACTGGCCCTGGGGCTGCCAGAGGGCTCCGCCTGCTCCTGCATCCTGCCCTTCTCCCCTTCACAAGCCTCTGCCTGCCCCACAGATGCCATTCAGAAGCACCGCAAGAGCCTGCTGAGCTGGCTCAGCCAACAGCCCAACGAGGAGCGGCAGTTCGGCCCCTCCTTCTCGCTGGACGCGGTGCACGTGGACCCCGTCATCCGGGAGAGCTCCCTGGAGGACATCCTGAAGCCCTCGCCCGACCCGACTGTCCACAACCAGCTGCAGGCGCCCAACAGCCGCGTTATCGGCTTGCAGAACCTCTTTGACGCGGACGCCTGCGGGCGGCAGGTCAGGACGGTGGTGTTGTACGGCACCGTGGGCATGGGCAAGAGCACCCTCATCAAGAAGATGGTGGTGGACTGGTGCCACGGGCACCTGCCCCGCTTCGAGGTGGTCGTGCCCTTCTCCTGCGAGGACCTGTCCCAGAGTAGCAGCCCCATCTCGCTGCAGCGCCTCATCACCAAGAAGTACCTGCACCTGCACAAGGTGGTGCCGCACCTGGGCTCCGCCAACCTCAGCACCCTCTTCGTCCTCAACGGCCTTGAGCGCCTCAACCTGGACTTCCGCCTGGCCAGCACTGAGCTGTGCTGCGACCCCAGCGAGCCCGTGCCGCCCACCGCCATCGTGGTCAACCTGCTGAGGAATTACCTGCTGCCAGAGGTCTGCCCCGTGTGCCCATGGGGCAGGGGATGGGAGTCGTTGGGGGTGGGATGTGGGCAGACCCACTGGGGAAACCTTGCCCCGCACCACTGATGGCTCCTGTCGCCAATCTGGTAAAGGCAGAGCCAGGGCAGACCCCCACCTCCAGTGCAGGGTCCAAGAGGGACCCCCCTGCCCTGCAGTGCTGGGAAACCCAGTCATCCTGGCTGCCTTGGTTCTCAGCCTTGAAGCCCAGGTGGAGAGCACGTGGGAGCTCCCATGGGGGAGGCGGTTTCACCCCCGAGGCAGCGTGAGCAAACCCAGCTCCGCACCCCAAAGATCAGGCCTGTATGATCCCAGGGGGACCCACGGCGTTAAATCTGTGGGGGTCTCTGCTCTGGTTCCAGGCCAGCATCATCGTCACCACGCGCCCGTCCGCTGTGCGCCGCATCCCCAGCAAGTTCGTGGGCCGCTACGCCGAGATCTGCGGCTTCTCGGACACCCACCTCCAGAAGCTGTACTTCCAGCTGCGCCTGAGCCAGCCAGGCTGCGACGCGGGCGGCGCGGGGGAGAACAACTTGGTGGAGATGCTCTCGAGGAACCTGGAGCGTCACAACCAGATCGCAGAGGCCTGCTTCCTGCCCTCCTACTGCTGGCTGGTCTGCACCACCCTGCACTTCCTCCACTACGCCCGGGCCGTGCCGCCCGCCCAGACCCTGACGGGCATCTACACCAGCTTCCTGCGGCTCAACTTCAGCGGGGAGGTGCTGGACAGCACCGACCCCACGCAGATCTCCATGATGAAGTACGTGGCCAAGACGGTGGGCAAGCTGGCGCACGAGGGGGTGACGTCACGGCAGACGTGCTTCTCGGAGGAGGACCTGCGGCGCTGCTTGGAGGGGGCCATGAAGACGGAGAGCGAGCTCAACCTCCTCAGCGTCTTCCGCAGCGATGCCTTCCGCTTCTTCCTCTCGCCCTGCGTGCAGCCGGGCAAGGAGCACACCTTCGTCTTCACCATCCCCGCCATGCAGGAGTACCTGGCTGCCCTCTACGTGGTGCTGGGCGAGAAGAAGACGCTGGGGCAGCGCGTGGGCCGGGAGGTGTCTGAGCTCATCGGCAAGGTGAGCGAGGATGTGGCCATGGTGCTCAGCATCGTCTCCAAGGTCCTGCCTCTGCGGGTCCTGCCACTGCTCTTCAACCTCCTCAAGATGTTCCCCCGCTACTTCCAGCGGCTGGGCAGCAAGGACCGCGACACCATCGCCCGCACCATGGCCACCGAGCTCTTCCGGGAGGAGGACTACTTCAACGACGACGTGCTGGACCAGGTGGATTCCAGCATCCTGGGCGTGGAGGGCCCCCTGCGCCACCCCGACGATGCGTCCGACGATGAGGTCTTTGAGCTCTTCCCCATCTTCATGGGCGGGCTCCTGTCGCGCCGCAACCGAGCCATCCTGGAGCAGCTGGGCTGCTCCATCAAGAACCTGGCGGCCTTCGAGATCGCCAAGGCCATGAAGAAGACCGTCATCCGCAACGGCCGCAAGGGGCTGCCCCCGTCCGAGCTGATGGACTACCTCTTCTTCCTGCACGAGTTCCAGAACGAGCGCTTCGCCGCCGAGGCCGTGCGCTCCCTGCCGGCCCTCAACCTCTCCTCCGTCAAGATGACCCCGCTCAAGTGTGCCGTGCTGGCCTCCGT